TCTGGGGTAGCACAGTCTGCCAACCCACAATCACTAGCTGGCATGCCTGATCACATGGAAGCCCTGCTTGGTCTCTTTGCAGTTAGCCCCTATTTATGATGTGATTTGCTGCTAACTCTCTTTGGGAAGCCTTTGCATAATAGACAAAGTGACATGACAGTGGCTTTGTGTATGGTGTGTAGAATTTTTGGTATTAAGAACATACAAAAAAAAAACACAGTGAACACACACACACACACACACACACACACACACACACACACAAACAGTGAGATTAATAAAGATAGACGTAGATGCTATACGATGGCCCAACGTTCTTCCCAGTCAAGGATATAGCATTAATAGAAACAGGGTTTTTTTTGGTTGTTGTTGTCAGGTTTTTTGTTTTGTTTTGTTTTATTGGTTTTGGTTTTGGTTTGTTTTACTGCTGGGCAGAATCTTCTGTTGGTGTCTGTTTGCTTTGAAGTGCCCAGCTCAATAATAGGGCAAGGAAGTTTGCTGAAGAGTGGAGCCCTGGTGTATCAAATAATACCGTGAAAAGAATCTGATATGCTCCTATTAGAGGAAAATGTGTAGCCAGTGGTGGTGGTACATGCCTTTAATCCCAGTACTCAAGAGACAGAGGCAGGCAGATCTCTGTGAGTTCCAGGACAGCCAAATCTACACACAGAGAAACCATGTCTTGGGGAAAAAACACAAAAAAACCAAACAAACAAGCAAAAAGAAAGAAAGAAAGAAGAAAAAGAAAGAAAGAAGAAAAAAGAGAAGAGAGAGGAAAGAGAAAAGAAAGGAAAGAAAGAAGAGAGAAAGAAGGAAGGAAAGAAGGAAAGAAAATGTGTAGTGCCAATAGGAGACAAAAATCACAGGATCTGGCATAGATGTTTCTCTCTCAATAGCAGAGCCTGCAGGAATAAGCTATCAGCAGAAGAGAGTCATGGTGTGGGTATAAAATGCCCAGACAGGCTTCTATGTTAGAATGCTTGGGCCCCACTTGAAGGCGCTATTTGGGCAGGTTGTGGGAACTTTAGGGTTTAAAACCTCACTGGCATATATAGGGTCAAAGAGGTTGGGCAGACTGCTTGGCTGTTGGCTGGAGTTCTCCCTACTTCCTGGTCAGGAGACATATGAAGTTGTTGCTCCACAATCCCCTGTGGTCTAACACCAAACCACCTCCAGCATGATGCTTTCCCACTGTGAGCCCATCTACCCTTTCAAATGATGAAACAGAACAAATTCTTTCTTCCTTAGGTTGTTTCTGTTAGGTATTTAGTCACAACTATGAGAAAATGAATGCAGGGTAAGACTGAAGAACCCAAAATCCAGCCTTCCCAGGGCATGGGACAAAAAGGCCATGCATGCTGCCTCCCTGTGCCTATGCAGGTCCATGTCATGGGCTCATTCTTTGTTGCATAGTAGACACCTGAAAAAAAAAATAGTGAGTCTCCAAACTTCCATTTTTCCAGAGGTACCCATTCTTCTTTTATTCCCCCCTGATCCAAGATACAAATATTTAGGGGCCCTTCTCAGTGGCCTGGCTTTCAAGGCCATGTTTCAGAACTCACAAAAGGGAACACTGTCAGCAAGAAACCCACACAAGTCACAAAAGGTGCATGTGAGCCAGTAACCTAACTACCACAGAAGCTGTGTTCTGCTCCGTGGAACTGTTTTAACCCTTTCAAGTCACAAACAAAGCATTTACACTCAACCTGATTACGTTAGAATAGCTTGGTAGGCAGACAATGGCAAGAAAAAGAGAGAGGGGCTGGGGGAAGACAGATACTAGAAAAGTGGAAATATTGACCTATCATACTGTATAAATCTAGAAGTAAATACATCGATTCAAATAACCTTGCATGTGGATGATCTCTGTTAGCTGGCAGAGATTATATCCTTGATAATTAGTTGGGTTTTTTTTTTGTACATTTTTTTTTCTGAGAGTCTCTAATGAAAGGAAGCAATGTAGGAAGGTTGGCTGTTATAGGCCATTTTCTACCTACAATATTTTATAATTAAACATAATTGATGATTTTTGGAATGAAGGTTTATAAACATGTTTCCAGACAATTTAGCAAAATACAGCTTTATTATATGTGGAGATGTCTCCACTCCAAAAACAAGATCTAGCAGCTGTCACACACTCTCAGCACATTGGCTTGGGACCAATAGGAACTTTTCTCTGTGTTTTGTTTAAAAAGTACGTGGAGCATGGATTCACCCTCATATTGAACAGGAATAGTAATCTGCCAACTTGATTCCCCTGGGCTGGACCTCAAAGTCATAAAGGTGATTTTAGGGGCCCTATGAGCTAAAGTTGCTGGTTTTCATACTGGGCTGCATGGCCTACCTTCACCTACATTCACCTGTGCTCAGATACACAGGGGAAAAGCAAGGTGTTGAAACTAGGACATTGAGAGCTTACCAGTGACGTTCTCAGAGCAGGTGTGGTGGGTCCATTCTTTCTTGTATAGGACACACTTGAGAGAAAAGAATGTGAATCCTCTCACTTTCATTACTCCAGTGGTACCCACTATTTTTTCCCTATCCCAATATATACAAATTTAAGAGCCTTTCTCATTAACAGTGGTGGCTCCCACCTCCAATGGAGCCGTTTCCTTTAGGGACATCAGTGCATCCCTGAAAACAAGAAGAGTCGTAACTTTATTTAAAACAGGCATCTTTGAAAAAAAAAATCTTACAGATATTATAAAAGAAAATTTAGGGTATATATATATATATATATATATATATATATATATACCCTAAATTTATTTAAATATATTAATTTATTTAATTATATATATATATTATATATATATATATTATATATATATATATGTCCAAGACTATTAATAGGCAGTAGAAAGAAAGTATCTCTTCCATTCCTACTCCTGGCCTGCACTGCCCTTTTCCTCATCATCATATCTCTCCAGATGTATCGTACACAAAGAAGCATTTGGCGAGTGCACATTTAATCAAGAACACCTGCCTATTTAAGGTTCTGCAAAGCACAGATGTATATAGCTTTCTTCATGGGTCCCTAAGGTGGACATAGGTGTCTGGGGAACTGGACATGACTCTGTAGACACAGCATGTGCCACAAAGCTATGGACCCTCCTGTTCATCAGAGCTTGACAGGGGCATGATCCTCTCCTTCCCACCTCTGTACTTGCTATAACATACAGCTTGATATCAGTATCTCTAATAATAGGAATAAACCAATGCTCAGTGTGTATAAGATGCCCTAAGGTTGTCATTTTTCCTTCCGGTGTTAATATTTGATATTTAGATAAATAAAGTTAATTTATAGAATTGAATGCATTTTGTAGCTTATATGCTAGTTTTATATTTGTTAGCTACAATCCAGTGATACAGTGAAAGAATAGTATCGAGAATTCACTCAGTCTATTATCACCTCACCTAGGTTTTAGGGATGAGGTTAGCGAACTTTAAGTGGGAGAGATGTGATTTGAGCCCAAGCACTATAGGGGTAGCCCAGGTTCAAGATGTTCCATTTCCCATTCTCCTGAGCATGATAGGGAAGATAATGGGACTTGCCAAAGCTACCATCTGACACAGCCCCTTTGCAGCTAAATACCTGGTAAACAGTGTATACAAATGAAGCCAAAATTCATGGTAACAGTATATGCAGACAGAGCTTCTAACCTAGAGTTCAGGGTCAGGGATGCTGACCATATGTTGAGAGTTTGTTAGTGTGTAGCTATACCAACTGCCCACTGTTTCCTGAAGCCCTGCTGTAGCCCACCAGTCAGAAGAGCAAAGGGGTGGTGCATCAGGCACCTGGGAGGTGGCTGCATCTAATATTTTGAGTCAACACTCATTTTATTTTTAACAAAACTAAAGTATTTTCTGGAAACTAAAGGGAGCAGCAAGGAGAAGCACAGGGGACTATTCCTGCTTCCCCAGTGGAACAGAAGCCCATCAAACACTTTCCTCCTGAAGGGGTCCGTCCGTTCACCAAGCAGTGATGGTCAGTCTAGCATCCTTTCTGAGCACCGACAGGTGGCACCCCTAATTCCTGACACCCAGAGTCCCTTTGCATGGGTTTCTTTGCCCTTTACAAGCTACATGTGCCTCTCTGCAGAAAGATGGTGCTGTTCAGATAGAAAAACAGTTCCCCAAAGATAAGGAGTGAGGTTGGCTGTCTCTGGACTCTTTCTTGATGCACATAAAGAAAATGGTTCAGTGCCTTTCTGAAGTGGTTCACAAAAGCTGGCCATATGGAGGTCCAAGAGAAGGAAGGAGAAAGAGCAGAAAGTAGATATGGCGGTTAAGTCATATCCCACAAGCAGATAGAAGACAGCTTTGTAAAGATCACAACTCCCTGCAAACATACTGCACCCAGAGCCACTGCCAACTAAGGCCCCGAAGGAACAGTTACTAATGCTATTCTACTAACCAACACACAGCCCCACATGGGGTGCCAAGGGATCAATTTATTTTCTGACTCTTTCCACAAAGGGAAACTAAAATAGCCCCAGGAAAGGGCCCTGCCAGCTTTGAGAGAAACCTTTCTGATTGCGTCTGTGAGGACAGTGGTCGACTCTGGAAAATGAGGGGGAGGGATACATAATTGAACGCCATCCCCAGTCATTATATCGTTAGTGCAGCAAGCACAAGACAGATTAGTATGTTGTCTTAAAATGAGCAAACTGTAATAATTACACAGGACACACTTAATATGAGATCCAGACTAGAAAAGACTCCTTTCATTTTGAGCAAAGACATTCTGAACACTGCAATCTAAGGAACACCTCCGTGGCCTAACTAGTCAGTCATGGACTTGGACTTACTGATGCAGTTACCAGGGCAGCTGGGAAGGTCTCCAATGAGGGTGGATCTCGTCATCTTAACAAGACCCTTTAATAAATCATTGGCATCTCTATTTTCTAATTGTCTCATATGTCTTCCTCCTGTGTCTGGGAGCCAGGCAGGAGAACCACCGAGGACCCTCTAAATGTATTATATATTTGTTTTCCTAGATTACACATGCTGTGATTTGGTTGTAAAACTAAAGGAATGTGAGAAGCATGAGGACCTCACCACCACACCTGAGCCCTCGCCAGCAACCCCCTCTCCAGAAATCCCAGAGGGACCACAGAGCTCTGACCCACTGGAAAATAGTTTTGAACCTCAGCGTCCGCTGGCAAGCTCTATGACCTTACAGGTAAAGCCTTTGACACATCCCATCCTGGCTTGATTCTAGCCAAGAGGAGGTTTCTCCTGGTGAATGTGGCATGCACCTGACCCCACTTTTGCCCATGACTCCCAGTCTTCCTGTCTGGATTGCTCTGTCCTGTCCTTAACTTTTTCTAGTCTCTCTGCTGCTGTTTGCCTCATGGAGACAATGACACTTGACTCTACTAGCCAAGAATGAGGATTGGGGGCAGGAGAGATGGCTCAGCAGTTAAGAGCACTGGATGCTCTTCCACAGGACTGGGGTTGTTCAATTTCCAGCATCCAAATGGCAGCTCATGACCATCTGTAACTCCAGTTTTAAGGGATCTGACACACTTACACAGACATACATATAGGTAAAACACCAATACACATAAAATAGAAAGAAAATTAAGAAAGAAAAAAAATGAATGAATGAAGAAAGAAGGAAAGAAAGGAAGGATGAAAAGAAGAAAGAAAGAAAGAAAGAAAGAGAAAGAAAGAAGAAAGAAGAAGAAAGAGGATTGTTGGTACTAATCAACAATGACAATAACAAAGAAAGGGTTTCCAGGAGACACATTTGATTTTTGAAAGATCTATATCAGATAAGAGCCCCTATACACCCCATAGTCAGATGAGCCTTTGAAAGACTCAGGAAGCTTCCTAAGTCATCCAGCCATGAGTCAAAGGACGTGGAAGAGTTCTTTTTAAACTTCTCTGATTCTTGAAGTAACATGCATATATTGATTAAAGTTAGAACACTTAAGAGGGTAGATGACCTCAGAGAAAGTTGTTGCCACTAGCACACTGCACAGATACATTTTCTAGGAAAGCACTTGCTGTGGGGTGCAACTCCCTCTGGATGTGACAAATAAAGCTCCATTGGCTCAAGGCTGCATCTCCAGGCCCTTGATGTGTCCTCCCCAAATCCCAAACCTCAAGATGTCCTCAGATGCACGAGCAGTAAAGCTACAGCCCTGCTACTTGGGTCAGCAGGGCATCCTTGGGGACTTTGTCTCCAGACTTGACCCTTCCCTGAAGCTTCAGCACATTTAGTGACTGGTGAGTCACTTTGTAGCTAACATTGCCAAAGAGACTCCTTCATCAGTGAAGCTTCCAGGGACACATGCATGACACAGACAGAGCTCATGACCTGTTCCTCTCTGAGCTCCCAGTGGGCAGGGAGGCGAATAGGATCAAGGAACACTTCTATCCTGGCAGCATACCAAGTGGGCCGGGGCTGGGCACCCATTGTAGGTAGACCCAGGACAGTGCCTGAGAGAGATATGAATTTAATGAGATGTAGCATGTGCTGTGTCGGCCTCTGCAGCAGTGTTTCTCAACCTGTGGGTCACTACCCCTTTGGGGGCTGAATGAACCTTTCTCAGGAGTGGCCAAAGAGCATCAGAAAACACAGATATTTACATTATGATTCATAACAGTAGCAAAACTACAATTATGAAGTAGTAACAAATATAATTTTATGGTTGAGTGTCACCACACGAGAAACTGTATTAAAGGGTCACAGCATTAGGAAGGTTGAAAATCACTGCTCTACAGCCTAGCATGGAGATAGCCATGTGGAATCCATTCTTGCACAAGGCAGTCTGTGAGGTATTGTTAGGCTCTGGCTGACCTTAAAGACTCAGTAGGGCTTACTGGGAGAAGTGGGTGTGGCAACCATGAGCACTCCTATGAATAGAACAGAGCCCTTCGAGGAATAGGAAGTTGGGAAAATGAATGGTAGCAGGGGATAAGCATGAACTTATACTGCTGAGAGTCAGCACATTGCCTATTGAGCTACCTTAGGCCTCATTGCTTATATCTGTCCAATAGCTGATTTCCAGAATCTGTGCAGGGATTCCCAAGAAGAATGGGTACAAGTGACTTCCCCAGTGTCTGCCATGAGAGCCCTGCACATGCTGCTTTGTGCAAGGAGATCAGAGGGATGAGGCACTGGAGAGGTGTAGGGGATTCTGACCTGTACCATGAGGCTCGCAGAATGACTCTGTATAGTAAAGCCTTCTACTTCTTTCTACCCAGGAGAAGCAGATCCCTTTAGCCACAGCTAGCCCCCTGAAAAGTACCATTTTCCACGCCAGGGGTGGGGCAATGCCTGTGTTTCTTAAAGCTCCACCCGGAGCAGGAATGAGTATGCAGATTTCTAACACCTGCCTTCTAGCTCTATCCAAGAATGTGGAATTGCAGAACCCTCAGATTTGGGTTCCTTGGCAGTGAGTGGCTTGGCGTGGTGAATCCACAGATGGACAGATGTTGAGCCATTTGTACTCAGTGGCTTCAATGCTGGTTACTGCTGGGTCCTGTCACAGGCTCTGTGCTGCTGGCCAGGACTAACTGCTAGTGCCATCAATGTGCCCCTGCTACCTTTGCACATGATCACGTGTGGGGGTGGGGAGAAAATAATGACATGGATTTGCACTGTGGCTTTTGTCCCCCGAGTGTCGTGCTCTTGTTGAATATGTCACATGGATGTGCTGCAAACAAAACAAAACAAAACAAAACAAAACAAACCAAGTCTGTTCTTTGTTCCAATTAGGAAGCGCTGGAAGTCCGTAGACCTCAGTTCATTTCTCGATCACAAGAACGGCTGCAAAAGCTTAAGCACAAGGTACAGCAAAGGAAAACCCAGCCAAAGGAAAACCTGAGGCAGAAGGAGAGCCTACTTCCTGTCCGTGCCAACAAGAAGCAGTTCACCATTCCCCATCCTCTTAGTGGTAAGCTGCAGGTGGCTCAGGAAGCCTGGACAGACTGGGTAACATGTGTACTCAGGCCAGAAGAATTCACAAAAGGGTGATGATTCCAAATTATTATGCCACTGCCACTGGCATGCGCAAACCTCAGCACCCTGCAGCCTGCTCTGGAAGCCAGCTCATTTTGAGAGGTTGCATACAGGCATGCAACTCAGCAGAAATAACTTGGGACACGAATTCACCATCCTAGCTGGGAAAGGAGCCACACCCCACTGTAGGAGCCAGGATAGCAAGTTCAAATTCTTGGCTCCTAATGGATGTTTGCAAGCGATCTCCTTTGCCCTTTATAGATTGTACAACAGATCTCAGGGTGAGAAGTTGACTCCAGCTTGTCTGTATCAACATTTGTCATCTTGAGACCTCTTCCTGCTGTGAGCTCAGAGGAATGATACCCAGCATAGTGAGGCCAGAGTCAGGCTGACCCAGAGAGGCAGGGCACTCACTCACTCACTCATAGTAGAAGGAGTTAGCAAGGAACCTTCTCTGGGCCCAGCACCGTGTTGGCGGCTGGGAATATCAATGTGAGCAAGACTGACCTCAGTCTTTTCTTCATGGGCCTCATAAGCAGGCCCCTGAACTAGCAAGAATAACAAGAGAGGAAGGCAAGGGCTGGGAATCAGAGCACTTGTGCAGGTTCCAAGTATACCTGCCAACCCAAATCTTAAAACCTGGAGGCTTGGAGAAGCCTTTGGTTTGTTACTGTGAACACAGGAATAAGGTCTTTCCTCCTAGGAAAATGTTTTGCCCCCCAGGAGGTGAAATCATGAGTATAGTTCTGAGAGAAAAAAAAAAAGTCCCAGCAAGCACACGGTTGAATGCACCGTTGTTATGCAAGGGATCTGGCAAGTTGCCTGTTGCTTCCATCCCATGATACGTTCCTAGATGATGAGAAATTGAAGCCCACCAGGCAGACGTGCAAAGGGCTAGCACACTGAGTATCTAGCTAGTGGTTAGGCGCAGCATAGGCTTGAGCTAGGTATGTTCTCTAGGTGACTTTAGTTTCTGGCTCAACAAAAGAGCATCTGTTCTAGTCACAGCTCTCTCAGGGTGCTGCGAAGAACAGATTCCTGCTATAGTGGGAATAATATCCTCTTGGCACTTTTACTCATGCTAGGTATGAAAGCTGTCACGTGGTCAAAAAAGTTAGGCTACTAACACTGATGTCAACAAACCGGCACAATATAGATGCAGACACAGAGGCTAGCACTGGAGGATCTCCATTTTCAGCCTTCAGCTTGCACAGGGAGAAGCAGGGACCTCTGGCCATGGGGAACTTGTTTAGTATGGCGAGGTGTTTGTTAACTTGACGTCAATCTAACAAATACTTGAGACAAAGATGTTCATCTTGTGGCAACTAGAAAGCAAGGGAGAGAAGGAAGAAGAGACCGAGGTCCCACAGTCTCCTTCAAGGGCACACCTCCAGTGATCTGAAAATGCCCCCTTTACTCTATCTCTTAAAGTATCTACTACCTTCCTGAGGCTCCAAGCTGGGGGCTGAGCATTTGCACACAGGAGGACGCCACAGGTCTAAACGTTAGCAGGTGCCATGCTGGGCTCCTCCTCTCTTGAGGCAGCTCTTCAAGCTATGCCACACTGGTGACCACAGTATCAGAGGGGGTATGGCCTTCACATACCTACGTTACTATTTTGCCACACTGCTAGAAATCGCTGGCTCAAAATTATGGGCATGTGTTCTCTCAGAGTTCTATAGACCAGAGGTCAAAATTAAGACACAGACGTGGCCAGTCTAGTCTAGAGGCTCAGTGCAAAACATGACACATCTCTCTCAGCCTTTCTGGCCATCCCTGAAGCTCCTTGGCTCATAAATGGGCCCCTCTAGTCTCTGCCTTTGCTGTCACATGACTTTCTTCTTGTCTCTGTACTAATGGATCCAAGTTTTCTCTTCTTGTACTGAGCTGAAGTCCACCCATCCAGTGTGACCACATAGTAACTTGATTGTATCTGCAAGGACCATATTTCCAACGACAAGGTCAAAAGAAGGTCACAGTCACAGTTTTGGGAATTTGGACTTGACTGTATCTTTTTGTGTATGGGGGTGTGTGTGCAATTCTGCCTGTAACATCAGCCAACTTTGATGTTTTTTCCAAAACAAATATTCTCAGAAGTACATATGCCTCTAAGTGAACAATTTTAAAACTGTATATAATAAAAGGGGCCCAATCTGGATGCATAGTATTAAATAACCAAGTCACCTTTTTATTCCCCGAATTCAAAACAGTCCTAGCCACTGGAATGCTCTTGGGGGGACTTGACCAACACGGATTTTATGGCCATTCCAACTGTCCCTACAGTATGGACGTGCTGAGGAGCGCTTTATCTCCATGTTTGTTTGTGTTAGGTCAGTTAGATCAGTCAATTCCTGAAACTAGAGCCTTGTATAAGCTCAGGCTAGTGAGGGGGAATGTTTAAGGCCCCATTAAACAAGTCTACAGTACGCATCTTGTCTTCAGCCTGTCTGCTGGCAAGATAATAAAAGCAAAATGCAGATGTTTCCTTACATGCTAAATTAGTTCATAAATCATGTGTGCGAATGAGCCCCGGCTGCAGTGTTGAGACGTCTGATGGAAGGAAGGCTCAGGTTTGCTTTTCCATGCTGGGGCTGCTGCCTCTGTTCAGGAATGGGCCTAGCGGTCTTGGCTGAGGGACAGGCATGAGTGCTTCAGGTGGGAGCTCTGGCAGCTGCCAGCGCTGGGAGAGTTGAATCCCTGGATTTGCAGAAGCAATGACGAAAGGAACCAGGGACCAGCTGTTTCGTGTTGCCTGATGCATTCTAAGCAGCCTTGGAGGCACAGGGGCGACTTGTGCTGTGAGCGTGCGTGTGTGTGTGTGTGTGTGTGTGTGTGTGTGTGTGTGTGTGTGTGCATGCACTCGTGAACATACACATGTGGGTACATATGTAGGTATAAGTGCTAATTTGGGCTAAGGGTCCGTGTCTGAAGGGCAGAGAAAGTTTTATGAGCAGTTGAGGGTGACAAAGGGCTCATGAAGTAGCTTTACAAATTCCTAGCTGTAGTCCCCAGCTCCTGATGGAGAGCTTCCCATTGCATGGAGGTGAATGGAAACTGAGGAGGCAGCTCCTGGTGGGAAGGAAAGCAAAGCACAGGAATGAGACATGGCTGGAGATTCGCAGTGTAACTATGGCGATGGGGTTAAGTGAGATAGGAGAGCCAGGCATCAGCTCAAGGAGAAATCACTGCAGGGGGAGCCGAAAGGTATAGTCACAACGTATGGCCTTGTGCAGAGGTCAGAAGTTGGGGCAGCTTGCTGTGCAGAGCGGCTGCAGGCCAGAAGCATCGAAGGCAGAAGGCAGAGGCTAGAGAAGGTCCTAGTAGAAAAGGCTTTTAGGTGGAATATTAAGTAGCAGGTGGCAACTACTGAGCTTTGTAAGGAAAGCTGACGGGATAAATACTGTGCCCCAAGGGCTCCTGTCTTCTCAGGTCAGCATTGCTGATGCACTCGTCACCTGGAACTATAAACAAGCATCAACCCTGCAGGATCATGGGTAGACTGAGCCACGTACAAAAACTAACCGTAACCTGAGATCTGAATGTTTCAGAGTTAGATCTTGCTTCTTCCCTGCAGACAGCCTGAATGCACGCGGCTATTCCAATTTAGGTTATATCTCTGACCCTCAGGCATGCAGAAACTCCATCAGTAGCATCTGCTTCCATAAGCCACTCTTTCCTTCTCTGCCTCCATTGCCCTCATGGTTCTTATTTACTTCGAAATCTCCTACTCCATGCCTTCTTCACTTTGGATTATCCTCTGTCTGTGTGCTGGGGGGGAATGTCCTCAGGCAGAAGCATGGGTGGCCACATGGCACCCCAGACTCCCTGCTGTATCTCACGGATCAGATGGACTTAAGCTGAATTGCATTATCCACACTTCCCAAGGTGAGCCAAGTCAGAGCTTTTCAAATCATGGGCCAGTGGAGGGACGGAATTCTCTAGAAGGCACTTGCAATTCCTTTCCCAGAAGAACGCTGACAGTTCTTGGCTGGAGCCAGCAACATTGCTTTGCATTCCCAGAGCATCTAGGGCAAGATATGACTCAGTAGATAAGTGATAGCAACAGATGTGGTCGCCCCAGCTCCTGCAGCTCCTAGCAAGGGCCATGACATCCTCGCTTCTGCCTCATCCGATCCCATGAATATCTTCCCATAAAACGCTGAAAAAAAAATATGTGTGGTCAGCTCTCTCAATATTAACCACAGAGGAATTTTAAAATGTGCTTATCAGAGAAAAGTACATTTTTCTTTATCAGCTCACAGAGAAAACAGGAAGCATGAGCTACTTGAAGTCTCCTGGGTCAGAGCCCTTCATGGGCAGACTTCAGACACTGCGACGGGGTGCCCCGCTGCACTGCTTTGCATGTTTAAGAAGTTTATGGTTTTTTGTTTTTTAAAGAAGTGTAGGAAGAAAAGACTAATTCTCATCTAGTGTTTAAAATTAAATTTACAGGGTGAGGTCATTTCCAATCGCAATAATAAAAAGTAGGAGCTCTGGTCTACAGATGGTGGGGAAAATGGCTGTATGGGGGTTTTCCCAATGTCCTGGGTTCTGTTTTCCAAAATGACTTCCTTTGTGTTCTACAAGACAGTTAAGTAATAAGCTGTGCAGAAACTCTAAGGCGATAGTTTATGAAGTTTATCAATATTCCATAAATTTCTTAGAGAAAAAAAAAGCAGGAGAAACCTAGAATTCAAAAATCCCTGATAACATTACTATTTGACTAGCAATGGCTATAGCAGCTTGAAGGCAAGGTGTATGACTTGTGTTTAAACTTATCATTTAGGAGTGCATGTATTTTGTTTTAGCTTTACTCCAGCTTAGTTGACAAACATTAGACAAACTTATGACATGCATTGTTCTTGCATGAAGGGGTACACTACGACATAATGAGATGGTTATAAGGGATTCAGCCAGGACCTACCTACTTATTTT